TATTGGGATATTTTAATGTATCTATTTTTTCCCTCGTCTTTAGAAGTTTTTAAGTCTGTAAAAAAGAAGTTTTTGAGGAAGAAGAAGTAGTATATTTTTTTTTTTTAGACTTTACAAACTCAGAAGCTGATCAAATATCGGGTTAAATATCGGTGGGGTGGCCGATGTCCGATATTCAGTTTTAAGGCCGATACAGGCCGATACTGATAGGGGGCCGATTATATCGTGCATCCCTAAACAAAACATTAACAAAGTATAGCAAATGGAGGTTAGTTGTAATGTACAGGCATAATGGCCAGTGTCATGAAAAAAAGTGAAAAAACACTAATATCAGCCAAAAACATCAGCCGCCCTTTTCACTCCTAAATTGTGGTTTCTTTTTCTGGATTTTTTTTCTCAAGCTGTTTTTAGTTGAGATGCAGTTAAATCTTAGAGATAATTTCAAGCTTCATGCTACCTAGTTCCTCTTATCTGTGGGTAGCATTTAGATATACCGTATCAGCCATTTTTGATCTTGGCTGAAAGTAAGCGGTCAGACCCCATGCTAACCTCAGAGCCGCCTTTCTTTTCCAGGTGTGATTCCAGCCAATGGAGAAGCGACGCTCACCGTGATTTTCTGTCCTCTCCAGTATGAGACGTCTCAGTTCACCTTCCAGCTGGTTGTCTCACAGTTCAACACCAAGCCATACCTGTGCACCATCAGCGGGAGCTCAGCCCCTCATTTAGCACGCAGGTAAAACACCACGCAATTGTAGCGCAAGTAAAACACTATTGCATGGAGGGTTTTTATTTATGCACTGTGAAAAAGTATGAAAGAAAACAAAAAACAAATACAGTACTTTTTAAACTGTACTTTACCATAATCCATCCATTTTGCAGTTTTCATATAAAAAGCGTTCCTACTGCTATAAACACATACTTTACTTCTATATGTAAAATTGAAAACAGAGTAAAGTTTTGATTTTTTTTTTCACCCAAAATTGATACAAGAAAAAAAAGTCAAGCTGCTCTTCCTGGCTGCAGGTTTTACCCCTGTCCTCAATGTTACCCCAACATATCATTCCATACTCACATTTTATATGTATTTACAAGCTTTCTGCACAAACTTTATCTGAAGAGGAATCTCTCAAAGCTTTGGTTACACAACGTTTTTGGCATGAAACCCTGAGCAAATACCCAAGGTTGAACTTCTAGTTCCTCTCTCCTGTTTTGTTTTCCTGCATCTTGGATGTCCCACATAAATAGTTAAAGCAATTTCTTTCATTTCTTGTTTCTCCTATCAGGAAATAAAAATGTTCCAAGGCTTTCCGAGCAAACTGCCAATAAACATTTTAGGCGAAAAACATGCCTGCAAAACTGGATTCTCCGCAAATGGCTTTGTGTGCTGATTAGAGCGTCCCATTTATTTTTCCGGCTGGCACAAAAAAACCTAATGTTTAATTCTGCTCCCATGAGAATGATGGGGCCATCCATCACGCAGCAGTAGCTTCTTCCACTGCACTGTCTGCTGTTATCTCCACCAAAAGTTAATAATTCATGGGGGAAAAAAATTAAAAAAACTTGGTAGCTGCTGCAGTGATATCAGAATAGATAATGCGTCTTAATGGATGTTTAGCATATAAAACACTCTCTGTGTTTGTTGTTTCCCACTGTGCAGTGAAATGATTGAAAAGCTATATGCATGTGAAGTCCGTAAAAAAAATAACCAAAGCTCTAGACCGAATCAGTGTTTGATTTGGATTGTTTGAATGATTTCCCTGACATGGATAAAGAAACTAACGTTTACCCAGTCATAATTTAATCACTGGGCTTCAGTTCTGTATTTTCCTAACATATAATCAATCTAATTCTATCCTTTATAGACGCTGTAATAAATCTGTGAATTTTACAGGGTTCTTGTTGGTTTATACCAATTTATTAGGAGTTGTTTCATAATCACAAATAAATATGAGGGGAGTGATACAGAAAATATGTGACAGGTGACCTCATTGCAGAGCCTGGCAGCCACCCCCACACTCCTCCTGTGTCCAAGCAGTATATCACAATAAACAACCCTCATGTTGGTTCCTTTCTTCTGGCCTGGAAATTGATCCTGGAATCAACAGGCCAAAGCTGCAACCTTCCACTATTTCTCTGAAAGTTATTTAAAAGGTATTTGCTGCAAACGTCAATGTTGTTGTTTATAAGAAACGCAACGCTGGAAATGGAAGAACGATTTCCAACAAAGCAGCTGCATTTCGAAACAAATGGCCTGGATTTAGATATTCTCCAGTTTCTGCAAAAATGTTTCTGCATTTATATTATTTCAATTGTTTTTCCATTCAAATCCTGCATGTAATTAGTATGTCTGTGTCGATTGGAAGTTACTTCAGAGTTGATAGTTATTTAGTGGCTAAAAAAGCTCTTTCTCTGTTTGCAACCCACAAAGCAAACCGAGTTTTAGAGACAAACTGAGATTTTTTTGAAAATCTTTATAAAGTTGATATCTTTATAAAACATCCATTGTTGAAGATTATTTAAAGCTTTAAAGTAGACAGTAGCTCCACCCTGAATCAATGGTTTTCTGTTCCATTCACAATACAGAAACATTTTTTCATTATTTTCTATTGATTTTATATTTTTCTACTTTGGTCTCGCTTTTTCCTTTTTAGTATTATAAGTATAATAATATAATTTAAAGTAAATGCTTCTATTTGTAAAATAATATTGAACTAAAAGGTGACTCTTGGGATGTTATAGATATTTAGGATAAAAAATGTGGAGGGAAAAAAAATCTGTGAGGTGAATCTGGGAGAATCGGAGGCATTGATCAGTTGTTTTAGATGTTTTCTCCACTCAGTATGTGAAGGTAGAGACCTATTCATTCCATTCTGAGAGGGTCGATATGATTCTTAGCTACCTTAAATCGGCTGTGTTTCAGTTTACTCTTCATTTGTTTTACTTTCCATTATTCCTTGTCACATTTTGTCGGCTGTTCGCTTTCTTAAGAGCAACAACATGCACCAGAAATCTCATAGCTGCAACTGCAGACAAACATGGTTCAGCAAAGTATTAATAAATATATTTAATGTACAGATATAAATACATATACAGCCTAAAAAATAGAATAAGGTATCTCAATGAGAAAAAGATCTTGATGCATTAATACTTTAACAAGGCACTACCATTTTTCCAACCATGTGTTTATCTACTGTACGTGCTAATGAGGACGGCTAACTTCTTTCTTTCTATGTGAAATTGAATACATCCATTGATCTATTTTCCATCACGCATATCCCTGCTGGGGTCAAAAGGGGTGCCAGTGCCTATCTCCAGCTGTCTACGGGCGTGAGGCGGGGTCCATCCTGGACAGGTCGCCAGTCCATCGCAGGGCAACAAAGAAGACAAACAGGACAAACAACCATTAATGCACCCACTCACACCTAAGGAGAATTATAGAAGCCAATTAACCTAACAGTCATGTTTTTGAACTGTGGGAGGAAGCCGGAGTACCCAGAGAAAACCCATGCATGCATGCATAAGGAGAACATGTAAACCCCATTCAGAAAGACCCCGAGCCGTGAAGCAAACCTGGAAAGTTCTTGCTGCAAGGCAGCAGTACCCACTGCATCACTGTGCATTCCCATTTATATCCAGTCAAATGATATACTGAACGTTTTCTTCTATATTCTCTCCTGCTTTTCATGTTTTCTTCATTTAAACTTCCCAAATCCTACGTTGTTGTTTTTTAAATTTGCTTTTTAAATTTTGATCCCCAATGACAGCCATTTGGACCGAAAAGCAGACGATGGTGCTTCAGTCCCTGCAGAACACAAAGGACGTCCAGCTCCTGCCTACAGAGCTCCTGGAAGTAAAGGCAGGCGGAGTTCAAACAAGGAGGCTGACAAATCAAAGGTGCTTAGAAGTGAACAGAATAATTTCTTTTACACCTAAACTCAAAGGCAAATATGTTCTTTAAAAAAAACTTTTTTAAAGTACATATTTCTGTGCTTTAAAAAGGTTTGTTGTGTTTTCTTTTGTACATAAAAAAATACTTTTTTCTACCATCTTTCTTCTATTTAGACAGTTAAAGATAAGGTGGGCGCTAAGCATGGCCAACCACCTTCAATGGATGCCTGTACGCCTGCAGGGGTGGCAAAGATGCTTATCAAAGACATCAATAAACTCAATACAAAAGGTAGCTACAGCCGCAATGATTTTACTCCTAAAGCTGACACTGCTGCAACCCTTTAAACAATTGTTTTGTGTCGTCTAACTCAATCTCCTCCATTAAACTCTTACCAACGTCTTTTATTTCCTCGGCACCCGCTCCTCTTCAGCCTTATCCTGTGGCAGTATGAAAGCGAAGCAAAGCAGGCAGATGAAAGAGGCTCTCTTCATGAAAAAGGTTCAAGAAACTGCGAATGAGGAACAAGAAAACCAGCTCAGATGGTAGGAAAAAAGAAAAATAGGATCAGTGGTATTTTTTAATAGAATCTCAACACAGTCTGCAGAAGAGTTAAGATACTGAAGACTCATATTTGCATATTTAAATGTATTTAAATATCTAATTTACTTTACTTATAAAATAAAATATGTTCTTTCGAACACTAGAGGGCTTAGAATATACATACTCACATAACTAAAATAAATTGGGTTAATTTTTAGTTCTTCTTTTCTGTAATATACATATGAAATAAGTTCCTAACTTAGAGTTGAGTTAAGATTTTAGAGATTTGTTATGTTTCTCTTCTTTGGTGTCTTCTGTCAACGTTTTCCTCTTCCATTTAGCTTAATTTGTAGATGCATGTGTTTTTCACACAGGCAGGTTCATCCAGGTATGGAGCCAGTGTCAGAGCAAAGGCAGAGGCAGATACTGGAGGACAGAGAGTCGGCTCTGCATGAATACAAGGTGAGTTTCAGCAGCAGCGAGGAGGGAAAAGACAGACATTACCAAGCAAAATGTTCATATTTTTATTTGTCGAGTTATTTAAAGGTAGGCTATAGTGGAGGATGTTCTTTTTCTGGGTGAATCATCAAAATAAGTGGTCTTAATTGTCAATCATTCTGGTGATATGATAACATAAGGCCGTCCTATGTGCCCATCCCCATTTTCCCTTACTGGTGATGTGTCTGACATAGTGGAAAAATTGCAAATCTTCTTTTGGAGAGTAAGCTTGAATGAGTGATGCAAACAGCAACTTTTAAACAGAGCGTGCACGAGGAGAAATGGGCTCTGGCACGCTCTCGCGCGCTTTCAATACACTGCAAAAACGATCTAGAAATAAGTAAAAATTCACCCTTAATTTGAGCAGGTAAATGAGATAGTTTGCCAATGGAATGAGTAATTTTAATCTTAAAGTAAGATAATTTGATAATATGTACTTGAAATAAGACAATGTAATTGTGTTTTCTTATTTTAAGTGTAAATTGTCTTGTTCCATTGGCAAAATGTCTCTTTTGCCTCCTCAATTCAACAACAAATGCACTTATTTTAAGAAAAAAATTACTTATCTAGGTTTAGATTTTTTGCAGTGTAGTGGTATCCTCTCGGGACCCGGTACAGGGTTGTGCATGTGCATTTTTCTTTTTTAATTGGAGAGGATGTGTCTTCAAAAAATTCACGAAAATCCTCAACTATACCTTTAAGTTAGTTTGGGTAGCAGTGAAGTCATAAAGTGGAAGTAAAACCATACATAGCCCTAGGAATATTCTGTGATCATCAAATTTCAATTCACTTTTTAATTAGATCAAGTTTGAACTTTTAACTGGGCTGTTCTATTTCAGAATCTGCTTTAATGGATTGACTTAATTGATCTCACAGTAAGGATCATGACATCGGCTTAATAGTTAAAAAAAAGAAGGTATCTATGTATATATGCATAGGTATATGCATAGGTATATATATATATATATATATATATATATATATATATATATATATATATATATATATATATATATATATGTGCTAATATAATATCATATAATGTATGATATAATATAATGCTTATATAAACTATTCAAATGTTGCTGTTGGTTTATGGCTGATGCCTCTTTGAAATTTTTTTATAGATCCCATAATCAGTTGCCCCTCCAGCAGGATCATCCTTTCCATTCATTCTTCACCACCTGTAATGAGTTTCCCCAAACCATGATACTGCCACCACCATGTTTGGGAGAAGGGCCGTTTAGGATGATGGACTAAACTAGACTCGACCCTACTTTTTTTACTGTAAGTCCTGTTCTCTGGACTAAAGGGCTGGTTATTCTCCCGCAGCAGTGTGTCGCAGTAATCTTGTCACAGACATTTTTGATTTATGCCAAATAGTGAAGCGTGGTCTGCACTGTTATTTCTCGCCACAATGCAAGACGGGAGAATCACAAACTAGCTGTGGGTCTAGATAGGGTCGAGGTGGTGAGAAAGTGGGGGCAACTTTGTGAGAGATGGAGGGACATGAGAGCGAAAAAGAGCGGGGATCCAGGTGAAAAGTTTCCCGGTGTTCTTGCACACCTCGCTCTTCTAGCTGGTCCATCTTCATGAGTCGTTTTCCACAATGCTGGTCATACAAACAAAACAAGATGGTAAGGTACCAATCAGGAAATAAGCATGAATAGAGCGGATGTAGATTTGACCAATCAGAGGCCTCCTGTCTGCAGCTCTGTCTGCGGTCACCTACAATTTTGGAGAGGTGCAGCAGAGTGTCTGAGGAGGGAGCAGGGACGTCTGTTTTCACTGCGACACACATGCAGACGAAGCATAAAGCAGTTTCGAAGTATAAATCAGCTTTAAGACCCGTGGAGATCACAGTTGCAGCAACTTATTTATAAACTCATCACCGAATTAAAAGTTTTAACCTTTAAACACTTAGAATTTTTTTTTCCTCATGCTAACAGCAACAACTAGACTAAAAGGATGACAGCAATGGTTTGTTCTTGACCTTCTTGAGACATAACATTTTACATGTAATGCCAGAAAGTTAGCCTTTGATTTAGTTTTGTGGAGCTACAGGAAAAAGGTAAGTGGTTTTCAACATTTTGTGAAAGAAAAAGCTAGAAAATGTTGAAAATGTGGCATGCATCTCCTCTAATCACGCTTCTAAATTAATTGGCTACTCTTAATCACATTTAGGGGGATCAAATTAAAAGAGGGCTGAATAACAGCAAGGGTTTGCATTAAAATGTATTTTTTGTCAAAGAGCGATATAATGAATGATTGAATTAGCCTTTTTGAAAAATGATTGTTCTTATAGATCTGTTGACATCTGAAAATGAATCTCTTAAAAGTCCCTTTAACCTCTATATGTTTGAAATGTTTTTCACCGCTGAATCCACTTTAGGATTTTTATCCTTAAAACACAACAATATAATCTGCTTTCAGGCTATTGATTTTATCTTGTAACCGTGGAAACAAGGCAAGGTCGGCCAAATCAAGTTCAGTTTTTTTGAAATACGAGTTTGTGAATAGTTGAGGCTGAACAGCCCTTCCTCTCTTATCTCCTGTTCACTTAAGCTGTAATCCACATACTTTATCACCATACTTTATTCAGATGTTTTATGGGAAGTCATGTATTTATGAGAGGAATGAAACGCTGATTAAAGGCCAGAACGCAAACATTTATGCAGCGTGTTATGGCTTACAGTTTTGTAATCTTCCAGTGTGAGTTTCACCACCTGGGAATCCTAAATCACTAAATTAGGCCGCCTCATATCCTGTGACAAGGAGAACATTTCCTCTTCAGCCAAAGGACTTTCGCCTTTAGCAAAAAACAAAAAAAAAACTGTTGACATATTTCTCTTAAACATCTTATGCAATGACCATCACTGCCAAAACTTTAAAATCTTTTACAAAGAAAGAACATCTGCTTTATTTTTTATTTAAATAATTCCCCATAACTTTTTTATTATTATTCAAATCATAGCTGCTGTGTG